AAGAAAAGACAGGGCTGCCCCTTGTCACCATTGTTCTACAACCATACCACTTAAACACTTGGCTGTCTATTTGCATACTAATCTCTCCAATTAGAACCTGCACCTGGAGTCATACTACCACAAACTGGCTATCTACGTTGATGATCTCTTACTGTATATTATTCCCCTAGTATCCAAAATATCCTGAAATAATTCTCTCAGTTCAGGACACTTAGTAATTTGATTGTAAACAGCTCTAAATTGGACTTAAAGGTAAAAACTGTCCCAATCTGAGGACCTAATTCTTATTTTAAATGGCTACATATTGCAGCCATTAAGTTAATCTGGGACAGCTGTTCTCCTGATTTCTCACTATACTACAAGACAGTGCTTTTGGCTAGGTTTTACTCAAGTATAGACAAGATTGGAGTACTACCAAAAAGATCTTTCCCTTCTTCCATTACTGATTTTCCCTTAGGTGGAAACCATCTTACAACTGATTACCTCCCACTATTAGCTAACTCACTGTTACAGTAAAGGGACTCCATACTATTCTCCCTAGAGTTATACTCAAGACCCAGTTCTTTCACTCCAATACATTAGAATCCTAAGTTCCCTTTCAGGATGTCTCCAGCCATGTTTTGAATCTAGAATGCATACAGTCGGGCTCAGGATGGTATACCATGGGGGTGCTCAGGAGGGCACATCATGGGGGGGATCACGAGGGTATACCATTGGTGGGGCTAGGGATTGCATACCACAGGGGGGCTTAGGAGGGCACACCAAGGGGGGGCACAGGAGGACACACCACCAGGAAGGCTCAGGAGGGCACACCATGGGGACTCAGGAGGGCACACCTCGGGGGGGCTCAGGAGGGCAGCCACAGTTGAGGCTCAGGAAGGCACATCATGGGAGGCTCAGGAGGGCAAACCACAGGGAGGTTCAAAAGAGAACAGTACAGGGGGGCTTAGGAGGGCACACCACAAGGGGGCTTAGGAGGACACACCACAGGGAGGGCTCAGGAGGGCACACTACAAGGGGGCTCAGAAAATAACAGTACAGGAGGGCTCAGGAGGGCACACCACAGGGGGGACTCAGGAGGACATACCAAGGGGGGCTCAGGAGGACACACCATGGGGAGCTTAGGAGGATACACCATGGGGAGTTTAGGAGGGCATGGCACAGGGGGCTCAGGAGGGTACAGTACAGGGGGGATCAGGGGGGCACAGTACAAGGGGGATCAGGTGGGCACACCGTGGGGCGTAGGCTCAGGAGGGTACACCAAGGGTGGACTCATGAGGTGTATTACAGGAGGATCAAGAACTGTGCAAGAAACCTACTGCAGCTGATCTACTTTTTCTGGTCCCTGCCAGCCCTCCTCTCTTCTCCATTTCATCTGATATCATCCACATGCACCTTGGGAGGACTAGAGAGGAGAGCTAGTGGAGATCAGAGCAGTTCACTTAGGGGATGAGCTCAGGTATGTTCTGACAGAATCCTGAACCTGCCTGAGCTATCACACCATCAAAGCCAACAGCTAAATATAGGCGGCAAAAGTCTCCACCCTGAAGGTACTAGTAAACAAGGGGCAGGTTGCGCGGTGGGGCGGGGCAGAGATTGGATTTGACAGCTTCACAGCATTGGAGCACAAGCGACCAATATGCCTAAACTCATCTATTCCATGCACAGATCTACTCTGAGGGAGAAATGCTCATGGAGTCTCAGCAAGGCAGAGACTCCATCGTGATCCACCTGTCACCTGCTTGCAGCCGACTGGTAGATCGTGATTGACAGGTTGCCAACCTGTCTATGCTCTATATTTTGATGCATTTAAAACTTTTTTTAAAAGTAGGATGTTATTGAAAATCATAATAGACTACAAACGAGGTGGTAATTCCATCCAATAGCTACCCAATATAGACTGCAAACCAACAAGTGGTGGACTTGGAAGGAAAATCTACCACTTTTATGTAGTTGATCCTACTTTTTATGCAGTTTATCCTCCTTCCAGGGGGAGTTAGGTGTGGTTGGTGGTTTCCATGCCATTTGTATAGTTAATCATTAAAAGGTACAGGGCACTATAAGGAATTGTATTATATACACCCATGGATCTTTCTGAATTGATATTAACTGTTATTTATAGCTTCACAGAACCTGAGGATGTGGAGTTGGAGACCCATGAAATGCATTTTGACATATCGCTCTATTCCCCTGATTAGATACTACTTTATGTTAAGGTGTCAAGTTGTACTAAGAAGGGTGTGATTGATAATGATATGCTATGAAACACATGGGGTGATTTTTTTGTATTACATGTTTGTATACATATGATAAGGTATTATCTGTGTGTAGTTATGAAACATTTCACATTTCTAAGTGAAATACCCCATGAGATAGATTTAATAACCCTGGAGCACTCAGAGTCTGGTGCAGCTGTGCAGGGTAGCCAATCAGTTTCTAACTTCAGCTTGTTCAATTAAGCTTTGACAATGAAACCTGGTTTTTAAACCTGGTGAACCCAACTTTGCACACTCCAGTTTTAGTAAATCTCCTCCCATATGTTTTATAAATTTCACAATAAAAGGATACATTTTAACATTATGATATATGTATTGCACTATTCAGGTACCTTTAAATTCTCACATTTGTAGGAATGTATTTTGGCTATTAGTAATTTTAGGGATGATGGTGCCTATCCAAACAATCCTGGCAATATATACAGTATATGTAAATCTGTGTTACTCATTATGGTCTGGTATTTTATTGCACTTATTCAAAAGAGACAATACAAACAAATTTAAAGTAAAATGCAGGGATTCCATATATGTTGTTACACCCTGGAGAATCCCGAAGTGCAGAATTCCATCATAGTAAACCCCTTGTGAAATATCATTACTTCCAGGCCTGGAACATCCAGAATACACTGCTTTTTATCTTTAGGTATATATACCATTCTGTGTTTTATAAATAGCAACCTACAGATCAAACAACTGTGCATGTCCAGACTAATATGTTATGAGGCTAACATTTCATGAGTGTGAAATTTTAAAAAGTTATCATAATTCAGACTATATGAGGAATTCTAATATATCATTCATTTTTAACGTCATGGCAAGCCTCCAAAACTCTCAAGTTGCTTAGAATTGCTATACTCATGCACTGAGGTCTGGCTCAACTGCTGTTGAATTTGCAAGATTAATTACACTGATGCTACACTTCACTTCAGATTAGATAATAGTCTCAAGGTAAACTGAGAAGTCAATTAAAAAGCTGCCCTTTGGAGGTTTACAATGATGTATACATTTTCAGTTTATATTAATGGAATAGCAAGCTACTGATTATGAGGGCATGCATCATTTTTCTTTTAGTGTAATATATTTTGGATGTAATAATATACAGTAGAGCTAGACACAATTCCAATAAACTTTTATGGAAATCAATACGATTGCCAATGCAGTAGTGATCATGCATAAACTGGCATTTTGCATATTATTGTGCTGAAAGGAATAAGTGACATTTTTTAATAATATTATTATTATTATTATTATTATTAGTATTATGTATCATGTATTATGTTAGTATTATGTATTCACCATATCTGCAATATATGCATTAGTTAATTAGTTTACTTTTTCATGTCCTATGAAAGATATGCTTTATAATATACTAAAAATAATTCTATAACCCTGAAGAAAGAATAGTGTGAAAAGGTGCTAAAAAAGTGAATCTGTGCCCAGACAATGTACATATTTTGAACAAGCAGAAAACAAGCCCTCATTCACCCATGCAGTTATAGGTTTTGTTGAGAAATTCACCTTCAAAATTCACAACAGAATAAAAAAGTCACATCTCCTTTACCCTTTATTTTCTTTGAAATAGCAGAATATTGGAAACCTGCCATACACAGCAGGTGAAAAAAATGAAAAAAAAAAAAGAAATTTTAATGCATACAGTCTTATCACAGGTACTTTAGAAGAGAAGTATGAGATTTCACTTTTTTTAAAATCAAACATACCTACTTGGATGCAGCATCGGTCCAATGCTGCATCTGACCCCCCTCGACTCTAAGTGTGATAACTCAGTAATCACATAACCACTGATTGCTGAGTTCTCACAGCTGCTCTGAGCAGAGAGTAGTGACTGTCAGTCACCTCTCTCTGCTCTGCCCCCCCCCCCCCCCCCCCCCCCCGCACTCACTGGAGAGCTGGAATATAGAGGGGGAGGGGAGGGAGGAGCGGGTGGCTCAGGCTCTCAGTGGATTGCTGAGAGGCTAAGCCAGGTTGCCAGTCCAGACTTCTGGGGTGGATCCGACTTTAAAGTTGGGATGTTTCCCCAGCCTAGAACGGCTGAGGGACATCAGAAAATGGGTCACAAGAGTGCAGAATGAATTGCAATCTTGTGATCCACAAAAGTACAGCCAAAAGCGTTTTGGCTGTGCTTATCCTTTAACCGCCTCCCGCCCACCATATAAGGAAATGACGGGCGCAAGGCGGTTCTCTCATTCTGGGAGGACATCACATGACGTCATCCTAGTCTAACCGCTCGTGCGTGGCGATCGGTGGTGCGCTGTATCTATCGGACACAGCAGATCACCGATCAATGGAAAAAGCCAAAGACGTTGGCTTGGTCATGTGATCAGTGGTGTCCAATCACAGCTGATCGCATGTAAATAAGGAAATGCCGGTTATCGGCATTTCTCTCCTCACAAGCTGTCATGCTGACAGCCCTTGAGGAGAGGAGATCTGGTGATCAGCATTCCTCAGAGGGGACATCTACACTGATCATCAGGGCACTGATGATCAGTGTGCCCTGATGATCAGTGTAGCCCCAGCAGTGCCACCTGTCAGTGCCCATCAATGCCAGCTGTCAGTGCTCATCAATGCCACCTGTCAGTGCCCATCAGTGCACATCAATGCCACATATCAGTGCCCATCTGAGCTGCCTTTCAGTGCTCCCTATCAGTGCCAGCCAGTGCCACCTATCAATGTCAGTCAGTGCCATCTATCAGTGCTGCCAATCAGTGCCGCCAGTCAGTGCCACCTATCCGTGCCAGTCAGTGCCGCCTATCAGTGCCAGTCAGTGTTTCCCAACAGCGCCAGTCAGTGTCATCTATCAGTGCCAGTCATTGCCGCCTATCAGTGACACCTATCAGTGCCGCCTATCAGTGCCATATATGAGTGCAGACTTTCAGTGCCCATCAGTGATGCCTGTCAATGAACATCAGTGCCACCTACCAGTGCCTCCTCATCAGTGCCCATCAGTGCCACCTATCAGTGCCCATCAGTGCAGCCTATCAGTGCCCATCACTTCTGCCTCATTAGCGCACATCAGTGAAGGAGAAAATCACTTATTTACAACATTTTGTAACAAACCCCTTTTTTTCAAAATTTTCAGTTGTTTTGGTTTGTTTAGCAAAAAATAAAAAACCCAGAGGTGATTAAATACTACCAAAATAAAGCTCTATCTGTCTCAAAAAATGATAAAATTTCATATGAGTACAGTGTTGCATGACCGTGCAATTGTCATTTAAAGTGCGACAGCGCTGAAAGCTGAAAATTGGCCTGGACAGGAAGGGGGTATAAGTGCCCTGTAGGCAAGGGGTTAAAGTTTAATTTTGCATGCCTCAAGAAAGCCTGAAGTGATGCATAGGGAGTAAGAATGAGCAAAAGTTAGGGCTGAACTCAGTTTAGCCTGAACCCATGGGAAACAATTAAGGCCATTAAGATGATGTTTTTTCTCTCCATACATGGCGCTAAAGCAGAAAGCACCTTCTCTGAATCCAGTCCTGAATTAAGTGACCAAACTGCCAAGTTCAAATTGACAGCTAACATCCTTTCCCCAGTGCTCGCTCTCTTGCTCACTCTCTCTTAACTGGAGGAAACCTAACAATTAATTAGACAGAGGGAACAGCAATTACTACAGAATACAAAACAGGAGGATAACATTCCCCCTATTAAAGGGACAGCTAACAACGTAAAAGCAGCTCAGAGTTATTCTATAATCTGCATTGTTCAGTATCCAAACAATCATATTTCATCTCTCATACATTTAGAACAGTCAAAACAATTAAAGATGAATGCTGATTGGTGACTTTGGCATTCTCCAGTTTGCACAAATTATATATACTAAAGCGAAAATATTTGCAAGTTACAATTTTGTGGTTTATGGGGCATTTATAAAGAAAACCATAAAATGTTGCAATGCAGGTTGGCTCTATATTGAGGTTGCTACCTGAAAAGAAAACAAACATCTGTATAGTCAACTATAACATACTCTCATCTTTCTTCCTATCTAAAGTTGACACATGGGGTGTTAATGGAAAAACATACACAGCTGTGACTAATATTAAATCATTTGTTGTGAGTGTGCTGCTGTCAAAACATGACAAAAGGCTAGATTTCAGGATTCATGGATGTTAACATTTATGAATAAAAATAGGCTGAAACTTGCTATTGTTCAGAATATTTCCAAGGGATATCTTTAGCGGTTTCTCATACTTCTTTTTTTTTTAGTTAATATTACCCCTGCTCTTTTCATTACTTTTCCCTGCTGGTGTCTTACAGCATGCTGTGAATGACCTCCACAGATTGCTCAAGTTTTATGCAGAGAATACATTGATTCTGAAAGCTTTATTAGATAAGTTTGTTGTTTAGCTACTTCCTGGTGTCAGCTACATTAAAAATAAACCTCATAAAACTGAGCTGTGACCTTCAAATATCTAAAACCGCAAAGTGATTTTTTTTTTTTAAAAAAGGCATACAGACCTGAACAATTCAGTTTCACTAAAAACTTGCTGTTGAAATCAAATTTTAAAACGCAAAATATAAAGTGAATTGTGCAACGCTACTAATTTTATTTATATTTTACACAATATCCATTTAATATATGGTTTGGTGTTAGCTGCTCCCTCCCCATAATTGTTATTAGTCCAATTATGAGTAGCACAGGAGGTTCCTATTGTTAAATTTTAAAACTCAACTACAAATTTTAGCTACTGCTTTTCAGAGGGTTCAGCCACTATGCCTGGGTTAGAAAACCCACTCAATTTACCTAAAATACTATATGGTATGCTACAATGAGACTGCAATGGATGTTTAGCATATCCAAATAGCTGTATTACAACCTGTTTCTGGTTATTCCCTTACTGTCCAAGCAGGGGCGGACTGACTATTCGAGCACTTGGGCACTGCCCGAGGGCCCGGGGTCAGTAGGGGGCCCCATGAAATGCCCCTGGTACCTTTTATAGGCTTTTTTGGGTGTGCTTTGAGCGTGGGCAAGGACACAGGGGCCCCATGATCCCCTATTGCCTGGGGGCCCCATGAGGTATCAGTCCATCCCTGTGTCCAAGTGTCCTAAGGACTGGAGGGAATAATTATCTTTTTTTAGTAGAATGAACATGGGTGAATATAGCTATAATGGGGTGATCTTGGTCCCCGCATAATTACAGTGTCTACAGCAAGTCCAAACTGTGTAGCTTGGAATCACAGGCCTGTAGAAAAGAGGACACCAGATCAGTATCCAGATGTCTAACTCCCAGTCCCAGATACAAAAACATTCTGTGTTGTAGCCTTAGGGATTAACTTCAAGGGTGATTTTAATATCTTAATTTAATACTGTATTTTTAATATCTTAGTTATAGAAGAGATTTTTTTTTAAATCAGATCTTTTTTATTGGGCTTTTGTATGAAGCACACAACTACACAAGAGGTTACAGAAGAGATTTTTAGTAGCTCAATTATGCTGCTAAAATAGCTCGAAAATATTTTTAGGGTATCAATGTATCGCTAAACAAAAAAAAATACAGTATTTTCTGGAGTATAAGACTACTTTTTATACTTAAAAATATACCCCAAAAATTGGGGGTCGTCTTATACGCGGGGTATAAAATGTGAACCTTGAGTTTGTTTGGGTCAAGCTGGCTGGATGTGTGGTAATACTGTACATACAGTATACCGCGCTGAGCCAAGCTGGCTCAAAACAAATGTCCCTATGACAGATTAATCTGTCAGCCAGCTGGATGTGCGGTATATACAGTATACTGCGCTGAGCCAAGCGGTTTTAAAATGTACCGGTACGTCCCTACTGTAATCAGCCCACTGGATGCGTGTATGTACGGTAGCTGCGGCTACATACAGTATACACTGAGCCAATCACAGCGAGTGATGTATTCTACTAATGAATACAAAGCCTGCTCGGATTGGCTGAGTCAGGGAGGTGGGCTGATGATGTCACAACCTCAGCCAATCCGAGCAGGCTTTGTATTCATTAGTAGAATACATCGCTCGCCGTGATTGGCCCCAGCATATACTGTATGTAGCTTCAGCTACTGTACATACACACATCCAGCGGTCTGATTACCGTAGGGACGTACCGGTACGTTTTGAAACAGCTTGGCTCAGTATACAGTATATACCACACATCCAGCGGGCTGACAGATTAATCTGTCATAGGGATATTTGTTTTGAGCCAGTTTGGCTCAGCGCGGTATACTGTATGTACATTACTGCACATCCAGCGGGCTGTATATATACTGTATACTGTATGTAGCCGAAACTACCGTATTACCGCACATCCAGCAGTAACCATCTGATTTGGAATTTGATCCATATGATGACTGTCTTACAAATGTATCACAAGATGTCATTCATGAACATGAGGATTTTGAAGGATTTTAAGTACCGGTAAGTCATAACCATTTCAATAAAAAAATCTGATGTTTTTAAATGGTGTTGCCTCGGAAGGGGGGTAGTCTTATACGGTGAGTATAGCCCAAAACGTATGTTTTAACTGGAAAAGTAGGGGGGTCGTCTTATACACCCAGTCGCCTTATACGCCGGAAAATACGGTAGCTCTCTGTGGAGTAATCTACATGAATATCATGCAATAGCGATCATTCTCGCATGGTAACACAATGCATACATCTTGTGGGATTTATCATTAAAAAAATACCACAAGGGAGCCATTTTCTACCAGAGACTCTTTACTTTTTGCCCTGCACAGGAAACAGGAAACAAGAAAAGATCTCCTCAATATAACGTCTATTCCCACCTTGAAGAGTTGTCACCAGAAAATTTGGAGAAGTTTTCCTCACCTCTTAATAATTTTTTATAGGTTTTAGGAGGAAGAACACAGAAAAGAAAGAAAAAATTATACATTGTCATTGCTGCATTTATGTGATTAATGCTATGCCAAATATATCTTAAAAATGTAGAGGGATACCACAGAATTGTTAAATTTCCATAAAATAGCATGAACAAATAACACAGTAAAGGAAATGGACATTTTAGTGACAAGTTAACGCAGGGTGCTCATATTAAGTAGGAATCCATACACTGGACCAAACAATGTGTCATCAAAGTGACTTGGATCAAAATGATTCATAGGATTATATACTGTATAATACCTATAGTCAGCAGTGGAATGGAGAAACACCTTCCTGGAGAACTGGAATACAGGAGCACACATATATACTGTAGTGTTTCTATTATCCATCGGTTGCTGCACAAGGTGTATATGAACATATATATATATATATATATATATATATATATATATATATATATATATACAGTGGGGCAAAAAAGTATTTAGTCAGCCACCAGTTGTGCAAGTTCTCCCACTTAAAAAGATGAGAGAGGCCTGTAATTGGCATCATAGGTAGACCTCAACTATGAGAGACAAGATGAGAAAAAAAATCCAGACAATCACATTGGCTGATTTGGAAAGAATTTATTTGCAAATTATGTTGGAAAATAAGTATTTGGTCATCTACAAACAAGCAAGATTTCTGGCTCTCACAGACCTGTACCTTCTTCTTTAAGAGGCTCCTCTGTCCTGCACTCATTACTTGTATCAATGGCACCTGTTTGAACTTGTTATCAGTATAAAAGGCACCTGTCCACAACCTCAAACAGTCACACTCCAAACTCCACTATGGTGCAGATCAAAGACCTGTCGAAGGACACCAGAAACAAAATTGTAGACCTGCACCAGGCTGGGAAGACTGAATCTGCAATAGGCAAGCAGCTTGGTTTGAAGAAATCAACTGTGGGAGCAATAATTAGAAAATGGAAGACATACAAGATCACTGATAATCTCCCTTGATCTGGGGCTCCACGCAAGATCTCACCCCGTGGGGTCAAAATGATCACAAGAACAGTGAGCAAAAATCAAAGGACCACATGGGGGGACCTAGTGAATGACCTGCAGAGAGCTGGGACCAACGTAACAAAGGCTACCATCAGTAACACACTACGCCGCCAGGGGCTTAAGCCAGTACATGTCCGGGCCCATCTGAAGTTTGCTAGAGAGCATTTGGACGATCCAGAAGAGGATTGGGAGAATGTCATATGGTCAGATGAAACC